TAAAAACAGTAATTGCACAGAGATACAGGCACTTCACACAGTAATGCCTTAATCAAACGAATGAAATTACTGCATTCTGAAGAAGTTTGATTTTTTTTTTTCCTTCTGAAGAGCCCTGTATTTCTAGTCTTGCAGGCTTTATGCCAGTTGCTGATGTAGAAGATGGCCCATATGAATCTCTTCCTTCTTTCCTTTCTCTCCTGTCCCTTCGCCTAACCTCAGCCCTCCCTCTGCCCTTCCCTGCTTCTTCATCCTTTGAGCACAGAGAGGCTCTATTTCTGCTCTTGCAGGCTCCATGCCAAGCCCTAGGATAGAAATACCTGGTAGAGAGTCTACAAACCTCTTCTTCCTTCCCTCCTCTGATTGATTCCCATCTTTCATTTCCCTTGTCCTGCTTCCTCATGCTCCTAGCAAACAGCTTTTGTGCCTTAGCCTTTCTGCCCTGCTCCAAAAGGGCTCTCCGGGAGCTGCCCCCCTCCCCCAAAGCAGCCCCTGCTTCTTGGCAATAGCAGCAAGCTGGCCTCAGGGCAGGGGATTTGGAGAGGCCAAGTAGCTCAGGTGGGCTTGAGGATGTGCTAATGAGCAGCACATGTTACTGGTAAGCATCCATATTTACAGGGGCTTCGAAGTGAGAAAAACCTGAGAGGAAAGATGGGGAGGAAAAAAAATTCACTGCAAGACACTGTCTCTTCTTCTATAGTCTGCTTATACATGAAATTGACTTTCTGTGTGGTGAGGGATACTTATATTGTATTTTAATTGCCTGGAAGCCCTATGGTGTTTGACTGGTGTGAGATTTCTTGCTGTGCAGGCTCGTGCTGGTGGTGACCTGGTCCTACTGGGCAGGCTGCTGCTCTGGGGGGCTTCTCCCCATGCTGGTGACCGGTATTCCTTTGTGGTGTTTTCTTTCTGTAAAGGGCCTTCTGAACAGTCAGGGTATGTAATTTGGTAGTGGTGAGCTGGAGGCGCCTGCTCGCCAGCCCCCTGTTAGAGGTGCCATGTGCAAGTGGCCGTTTTGCTGAGGGACGTAGCAATGAGAGAAACTTGGACATGCAGGTGGGGAGACAAGATGGATTTGGTGGGTGGGTGATCTGGCAGTGACGTGAGGCTCCCGTGTAGCAGCAGATTTGTTAGTGACTTCAGCCTCCTTCAGTTAGCTTATTCTGCTCTGGAGTGAAGGAAACAAAGCTTATAATGGTGTTAAAACACTGCTGAAGGACACATTTTCCTTTAGTCTTAGCAAACCTTTTGTCTCCAGCTCAGAAGAGGCACGTAAGCAGTCACAGGGCCTGGTGCTGGTGTCGGGGAGAGAGCAGCAGGGAAATGCTGGGGGTGGGTGGAGAGGCCTGGCGCTGCTCTCCCAGGGAGCAGCTTGTTGTCCCCAGCCACGTTAACCCCTGGGGGTCCTTGTCTGCTGCTCTCCGGGCTTTTCTGGTCAGGCTGCTGAAGGCAGACGTCTCCCCTGATTATGGGGTCTGTTTGGCCTCCCTTCACGCCCCGTGGGGTGCCTGACAGCATTGAGCTTGATGAGCCCAGTCAGAGGCTTGATGGCAGCCCACCGCAAAGCCAAGTGCAAGGGCTGGGCTGCAGCCAGGAGGCCATGCCCCAGCTCCTGGCCGTGAGGGCCAACGCCCGCGGTAGGACTCTCGGGGAGGGAGGTGAGAGCCCTTGCTTTAGGCCTTCTCTCTACTGAGCCCAGAAGAGGGATGTCTGGAGGAAACAGCCAGCGATGGCTCCCTGCGGCTTGATGGCCGGCGAGGGGCAGGGAGGAGGCTGTCACCTGCTGCTGCTGTGTTTCGGTGGCAGCAGATGCCGCCTCGCAGGGAGCGCTGGCAGGGACCTGTGCTGCCAAAATCCCTCTGAGGGGTTGTGCTCCTCACCTCCCGCCCAAAGCAGCAGCCCAGCGGGTTGAGGGCAGCACGGCGGCAGCTGGGCCGATGTCCTCGTGCCCACGCTGCTGCTCCAGGGACAAGAGAGAAAATGGTGATCCTGAGCAGGCACGGGATCAATGTCCTCTGCTTGGAAATGAAATTCATTAGCTTTGCACCAATGTTTTTATTTTCATAACCGCCTCAGCTTTGCTGCAGCGTTTTTGCATACAGCAGTGGGAGACCATTACCCTGGGATAATGCTCAATCCCACTGACGTGACCTGCCTTGCAGTGGAAACACAGGGGATCTCTGCCAGCCCCTCCTGGCCAAGTGGCTGACCCTTCGTTAAGGGGAATGGCTGCAAAAAAAATAAAGCCCTCTCCTCTTACAAAGTTTATCCTTCCAGCAGTTTGTGATTTTAATATGAAAAATTACCTCAGTTATTTCAAAAGCTAGCAGTTGAAAATCAGTTTGGTGGTTTTGTTTTTTTTTTGAGGTTGGATAAACAGTTGGTAAGTGCCATCCCCGCCTTTAAGAACTCACTAAAAAAACCAGCATGTTTTGATTTGTTTGTAGAGTGAAAAGATTGTTCTTTAATCCCTTTGGAGTTGTTGGATTTTCTACTCCTGCCAGTGGAACTAATGAAAAATCCTCTAGCAGGATGTGTCAGGAAAGCCAGCGACGCCCCCTCGCCTCTCCTGAAGACAGCAGGTATCTTGGCAATGGCGGAGCAAGGGACACAACTCCTGCAACCCTTCCTGAAACACGGTAGCCATGCTCCATGCCAGAAAGCAGCGTGGGGGTGGGGGTCTTATTGTATTTGATATAAAGGGGGGGGGGGGGCGAACAAACCCCAAAACCAACAATAAAAAACCAAAATGAAACAAAAAACCCAAACAACACTACACAACGATCACTTAGTAGTTTATTTTTTTCTCCTTGGTTAGATCAGTACAGTGAAATCCACTATTTTAAAAATAATTAATGTAATATTTGTGTTATAATCTTAGGTATTCCAAACAGCAATTAATTCTTTAATGAATATGAATGATTAATTCAGTACATGAACTGTATGAAATAATAACAGAAGTTAAGCCAGGCATGTTGCACCTGACTGGTGAGAAGGAAAGAAGTTTCCATTAAGGAAGAGAGCACTTTGAGGCTTCACACCAGTTACAAGGATAAAATTAAACAAAAATAAGCTAATTGGATCTTAAGTAGGGCAAAACTGAACCCCTCTTGGGCTCAGCTCAGTTGCTGAAGCAGAGTTACCTCCTGCAGTTTGAGATGCCCTCTGATGCTGGAGACATCCCTGTGGGGCTGGATGCTGCTAACTCAGGACCTAGCGGGGAGACCAGGCAGGAATAGCTAAGTCACGCCTGTATTCAGGCATCTGAACCAGGACCAGCCCTTTTTAGTCACTTGCTGACATATGTACATGTGTTCTTAAAACCCACTGTTTTCTATTAATGGAACTAGGAATTTTTGTATTGATTTAGTATGGGAGACCATCCTTAAATAATGGTAGTTTCAGTCTCCTCTGTTAATCAAATATCTAAGCAGCAGATACCCATCAGTTTTGGAAAAAAGTCTAGCAAGCATTTTTTATGTTACTATTTCAAATATATCCAATTCCAAATGCACTTATTTTATAGTAGAGTACAAATTACACAAATCTTAGAAGCTAAAAGAGAAACAATACAGAACATCCAACCTGAAACCTCCCCAATGCCTTTTACTCAAAATCTTCAAAATGTCTCCTGAAAAGCTCCAAATGCAAAGAAACATTTTCTCAGAAAAAACATGCATTAAAGTGTTCTGCACTGGGAATCTTTCAGATTCATCACAATGGTTCACTCATTCACTATAAATCATAAGAAAACCAAGATTATGTTCCTCTACTCTTT